CGCAACTTTTTCCAGAAGTAAGTTTCGGGCAGCTACAACTACAGGTGCTAGGCTGAAGACGTCCTCTCCACTGACAGATACGTCCTCCACAATCTGAAACAGAGGGAAGCCTGCAATCCCTATCTACACATCTTGAAGACCCAAATGCATAATGGGCTGAATACATCAGTTGATTTCATCTATGCACAGGGCACCTGGACAAGAGTAAGTAAAACATCTTGAAACAACATATTTCACAAAACAAAACGAACAGGTGAACATTGAAGAAGGCAACTCCCACCAACCCATCAAACTCAACTTCTAGTGTATAGAAACACTGATTTAATTCATACTGTAAAATGTTGTGAGCACCAGTGGTACCAACTTAAGTTTGAACAGGATAGACCACTATAAGAATCAAATTGAAATTAACAACAACAAAATGAAACCAAATTCAGTCTAAAATATGAATTCCAATAACCCCGAAAAGAGCCATGTAATACGAGGTTCGAATCAGCAGTAAAATTGTTCGAATTAATCCAATGCGTGTGACTGTCTGCTAAGTGAATGAGTATGGTTCTACGCCGCTTTTAGCAACATTTTAGCAATACAACGGCGGGGAGGGGGGGGGGGGGGGGGGGGGGGGGGGGGGGGCACCAGAAAAGGGCTTAACACATTGTACTCATGTGGGGAATCGAACCCGGGTCTTTATCGTGACGGGCGAACGCTTACGCCACTAGGCTACCCCCTGTTTTACAAAGTAAAATAGATAAACAGGATAACATCACCACTGAGCAAGTTTATCCCCGACTTGTGTATATCATTATTGTACTGACTGATAATACTATTTGGTGCCTTTAGGCTGTCCATGAAAGTGGCGAAGGTGAACAGGCGACTTCTATATATACCCACCACATAATCCCGCCTTCTTGTAGGCGGCTCCTATATATACCTACCACAGAGTCCCGCCTTCTTGTAGGCGGCTCCTATATATACCTACCATAGAGTCCCGCCTTCTTGTAGGCGGCTCCTATATATACCTACCACAGAGTCCCGCCTTCTTGTAGGCGGCTCCTATATATACCTACCATAGAGTCCCGCCTTGTTGTAGGCGACTTCTATATATACCCACCACATAATCCCGCCTTCTTGTAGGCGGCTCCTATATATACCTACCACAGAGTCCCGCCTTCTTGTAGGCGGCTCCTATATATACCTACCATAGAGTCCCGCCTTCTTGTAGACGACTTCTATATATACCCACCACATAATCCCGCCTTCTTGTAGGCGGCTCCTATATATACCTACCATAGAGTCCCGCCTTCTTGTAGGCGGCTCCTATATATACCTACCACAGAGTCCCGCCTTCTTGTAGGCGGCTCCGATATATACCTACCACAGAGTCCCGCCTTCTTGTAGGCGGCTCCTATATATACCCACCACATAATCCCGCCTTCTTGTAGGCGGCTCCACAGGCGCTACACTTCGCCCCGGTACAATAGGGTGTGTGGAAGTTCCGCTGCCTGGAAAGGGCAAACTCACGTCAATATATACGGTTAGAATTGGTCACCAATTTGTGACTGAAGGCTCTGGGGGAGGTCACGTGTTGATTCCCAAATTGAAACAATGTTAACCCAGAAATCTGTACTTAAAAGATCCTATTGTGAACCCAGTCAACAAGAGGTATACATACAACAAATGTATTACAAAATTAAGTTTACAAATAAATACGACCCGTGAAGTTCCGGGGTAGAATAGTTCTTCAGCAACCCATGCTTGCCGTAACAAGCGACAATGCTTGTAAGAGGCGTCTAAAGGGATCGCAATTGGGATCGATCACATGCATCAACCAAGTCAGCGAGCCTGACCACCCATTCCCGTTAGTCGCCCTTTACGACAAGTATATAGTCGCCTTTTACGACAAGTATATTGTCGCCTTTTACGGTAAGCATGGGTTGCTGATGACCAATTCTACCCCGGAACTTCAAGCGTTTGGGTCAACCGTCACTACGCCGTGAAAGATGAAACGTCTTGTTCCAGATGAAGGGTGCCATACAACATGGGAGCTTACCCTTCAGCATAGTTGCAGACATAGTACCGATGCTGGTGGCAGGCGGCTTGGCCACAGCCGATACGGACAGTATTCCCATACACCACCTGCATATATACAAATCAACTTTGTATCAGTAATACACGACAGTGCACCCTCAAGAAAAGCATAGTCACAAATGTGGAAAAGTTATTTCAAATATATTTGAATGTGTTATGTCGGACTTGCAGCTTTTTCTGTATTCATTGTTGCAACTGAACCAAACACCAATCACTCTAAACCTCTCCCCGGTATGAAGCAGAGCTCAATAAACATTGTAACAATGTTATTTTTGGGACAACACTTTTAGGTTCAGTCCCATCAAGGATTTGGACCCATACTCAGTGAGGCACCCAAACGCCAGTACACGAAGTCAGTGATGTACCCATCTCAACCACCGAGGCTTCCACAAATATGAATAGTGCAAGAATTGGTACTTCAACCAAGTGTTATTCCAAATATAACATTTGCTACATCTGACCACTTTTCTAAATATTATTGTGCTTCATACATAATACCTTACTGTTTCCGCGAATCAATCCTGATACGGGCTTGCCTCCAACAACGATGGGACATGTCACCATAAATACATCCGTGAAGATCCGGGGTAGAATAGGTCTTCAGCAACCCATGCTTGCTGTAAAAGGCGACTATGCTTGTCGTAAGAGGCGACTAGCGGGATCGGGTGGTCAGGATCGCTAATTTGGTTGATGAATGTCATCGATCCCAATTACTTGGATCGATGTTCATGATATTAATCACTGGATTGTCTGGTCCAGACTCGATTCTTTTACAGACCGCCTTCATAGCTGCAATATTGCTGAGTGCAGCGTTAAACGATAAACCTACCAACCACCACAAATAGGACCATTGTTGATCTCCACGCCCATCATGACGAGCACCCACCTGTGTGTAGTGACCAACAACTCCGCCGTTGATGGAACCATTCCCATACTTGTAGTCCTTGATCTCTCTCGTCCAGGCCAGGAATGCTTTGGTGAAGTTGAACTCTCCGCCTCGGCGGGCCAGATTTTGACCAATGTTGTATAGTGGCATTCCTGAAAAGTAACAGTGTAAAGCTGAACTTTGTTCCAATGTTTGACAAGTCCGATTTGTTTGCCAATTGCAATATGTACTGGCGACAGGCTATTCCAACAACTAAACCAAATTAGTCGCCTCCACACGCTTGGGTCGCCCCATTATGAAATGTCTAAAAAATGTATGCTACAAAATAATTAAAAGGTTTAGACTATTACTCCTAAATTAATGTGGAAACTTGTGTTGCCTATCTCCGATCTGAACGCTTTTTATTACTTCCAGCTCTGTATTAAATATCGTTGAAATAGAAGGATTTAACTAGGTGGCGTGTGCAGCGAGAGTCCGGTCAGATGTGAAGATATGTCTAGTCACGTGACAGCATACGATGTCCGGCTTTTCTGTCCGTAAGCAGGTCTTTCAGTGAGAAAGGCTATGGTTTTACGCCGCTTTTTGCAATATTCCTTCAATAACACGGCGGCTGATCATGGGCGTCACACATTGTGCCCATGGGGAAATCGAACCCGGATCTTCTTTCACCACTAGGCTACCCGACATCCCTTCAATGAGTGAATGTGAAAGTTACCGTGGACTTGCTATACTTATCGAGATGTCGGCATGAGTTTTACATCTCGTACATCAATGTGGGAGACTAACCGATTGCCCGCCTCTCCGCGCCCTTGTCATGGCCCAAGACACACCGCCTTGCCCACTTTCCCGCTATGGCCGCCAACTCCTCATCCCAAATCTGAAATTATCAATCATGTTTGCCTTATGGAGGGGACGCGCATCTTAAGGTACAGGATGCTAGTCAATCATAAACTGAATCGGTTATTAAACACAAAAGGTCAGAAACTTCGCGTTTGATGCCACATGTCACCTGTCTGATATTCATATATATATATATATATGAACGCGCGCGTGCGTGCGTACGTGCGTGCGCGTACTAGTCCGGACTGATGCCGATTTATAGTGCTAGCTCACTGAGATACCATGCCGCAGTTGAACATGAATACCCCACTCAGACACAACACACTGACTCCGAGCCGACCAGTCCTTGTTTTAGCCCCTTAATGCCGAGCGCCAGACAGGGTAACAACAAGTACCATCTTTTAACGTCTTTTGGTATGACGCGGCCGGGGATCGAGCCCCGAACCTTCCGCTCTCCGGACGGACGCTCTACCACTAGACCACGGAGGCGGTCCCACATTTAAGTGGCGAATGTCCATGCATAACGACATGGTCATGCACACTGGAAAGGTTCCAGAGGTGACTCTGGAGAAGTGCTTGGAACGAAGAATAAAGACATGCATCAACCAAGTCAGCGAGCCTGACCACCCGATCCCGTTAGTCGCCTCTTACGATAAGCATAGTCGCCATTTACGGCAAGCATGGGTTGCTGAAAACCTATTCTACCCCGGATCTTCACGAGTCAGTTCAAATGGTAGCTGGTTCCATGCAACTTCTGTGCAACTGAAAAGGCACTACACGCCATATGGCATTGAACGTGTTGACAAAACCTAACTGAAAATAGTGTATCACATCTTCCTTTAAGGTTTATATTTCCAAGGGTCGCCACAATCAAGGATGAGAAATGGAAGGTGGAAACTTGGAAAAGCATGGTAACAAGTGGGAAAATACAAATGAAACTGCTTCAGTAACATTTCATCTCCATGCAAACATGATACACCATCCACTTCGGAAATTAACAAAACTAGGTAATCAGGCATTTTAATCTCCCCTACAGCGTTGACAGATAAGTGTAATGCCCCTTTTAACAATAGTTAAGTCATATGACAGCGTGTCGGCTTAATGTGGGAGGAAAGCCCTTAGTGATGCAGGTCTCCGACGTTTAGCGCTCGAGTGAAAACCCCGGGCAGGGGTATGATGTTGATAAAACAGAAATGATCGGGGGCGAGGCAGGATTCGAACCCACTATTATAGGTTCCTGGCGTGTCCAAGGGACGCAACTCTGCACGGCAAATTGTGCCGCCTTTGAAGACTTGGCGGCTGTGGCAACAGACAACGAAACCCTCCACCAACCTGACAACCAGAAAGCTGTCCTGTGTAGGAGATTCCTGCAGTGAATCATGCTGTAATCAAGGCAAACGGTCACCAACATTGCAGGGTGGACAATGTACAGATACAGGTACGAGTTTCGATACATATAAATGAATTATACTGAACAAAAAAAACGTCAGGGATCATGAATATTTTGGGGGGTATTCTTTTGTAGTGAATACTGATGACAATTTCATAAAAATATCCCATAAAATATTCACGATCCCTAACCTTTGTTAAGTATATTAATCAATTCCACCCACCACTTTCTGCATTGCTGGGGCCGGCGGGTCCACCCTACTGCGCCACTGGTTGTGGAGATCTACAATCTTCTCCTTCCAGTCACTGGTCAGTGGGGCGTCCACACCAACGTCATGACCACACATGGTGTGGGTGCTGGAGAGCTTCTTGTAGCGGGGGTCGCACTTCATGTTTGAAAAGAAAAAAAAAATTGATCACTTGGCCAATCACACCTCATATTCGGACCTGAAGATTGAGTGACAACAAAACCGATCTTCACACATGGTGGGGAATAGAACTGATGTTGGTGCGATTATATGTTTAGTTTTATTTATTATAATGATTTGGATGGTTGGTTTGTTGTTTTTCGCAGCACTCAGCAATATTCAAGCTATATGACGGCGGTCTGTAAATAATCGAGTCTGGACCAGACAATTCTGTGATTAATATCATGAGCATCGATCCACGCAATTGGGATCAATGACATGCATCAACCAAGTTAGCGAGCCTGACCACCCGATCCCGTTAGTTGCCTTTTACGACAAGCATGGGTTGCTGAAGACCTATTCTACCCCGGATATTCACGGGTCTTATTATTATGAAAACCCGTTAGGGACCGATCATTTGATATTGTGGTTGTATGGGTGGGTAGGGGTAGGGGTGGGGGTGGGGGAGTGGCTGGGCTGGGCTGGTCTGGGCTGGGATTTTTTAATAGAGGTTTACATATTTTTTTCAACTACATCAACACCAGATATTTTATTTAAAACGTTTCGGGGACAATTTTTTTTATATAATCCCAATCAACCAAAGACTCGCGTCTACGGAGGCAGTCACTCAATGTTCGACATGAAGTGGTTTTATTATTTCCCTTTCGTTTATCCTACCTTTCCTGGTTTAGGTGTCGTAGTTGGTTGTGTACCGGTTGGTCGTGCAGTTGTTGGCCCAGTGGGTTTCGTTGGTGTTGGCGACCCTGAAAGTGAAAATACATGTAGCACTCTACTATTTGGAAGGCGATTATAATTACGAGGTGGTGGAGTACACATTGTCCACTCAAATGAAGGTGTTATTGTATCTTACCTGGACATAGGCCACATGTTATAGGACAAGACAGTGGAAATCGTTTGCAGTTTGGGCTTGAACAGCGCTCGCCCTCCTTGGCAGGACATACAACTGCAAGAAGACATACAGGTGTACTTGTTTCAGCTCTATTTGTACGGAGTAAGGACCAAATATACTACTCAAAAAAGGTTATACACATTTATAAGGCTAGTTATGAAAAAAATCTTATTTTGAGTAGTTGGCGGGGCAGTAGCCCAATGAGTTAAGCCGATTAAGAAACGCATGCTATTTTTCGTGACCTTTCTGATAGGAAATATATTTTTAATAAACAGATTAAAGATTTATAAACGTAATCTTGACTGATGTCACATAGGCCACATTGATCGTGAAATGGTCCGCGACTATTGTGCGCATGTGATGGAAGGAAAAGAAAATATAAGTTCAAATTGTTGCTTTAGAACAGAACGTTAACATGAAAGTAGAAGGGACGGGGGAGTTTCTCGGGATGGACGTGACGAGAACAAATGTATTTAGGTGTATTATCCGACAACTTGCACAGAAGAGCCTCCTCGACCTGTAATCGCTACAATGAGAAACTCGAAATTCATTTTCAGATTTTCAACAAAACAATTGTCAATTTGACATTTTTACAAGTCACAGCAAATTTCCAGCATATTGACGAGATACATTTTCTTACTTGTTTCACAGTTCTTGCCCTTTGTTCCCCGTCTACACTTGCACGTGCAGGTAGCGGCATTCAGTTGTCCTCCCCACAGGCACACGAGGCCCTTACAATCTGCAACACATAGTCAGTTGTGAGGTAATCAGTTTGTACACCATCTTCCCTAGGCAAGGGGATTAACTGACTATAAAAGTCCGGTTTCCACCCTTGCCGAACTAGGCTGGTATTATGGAGTTACATTCGGGTTAAACTTGTGAACATTCCATTGAAATGTGACCAGATAGATTCTTAACGCTGTACAGGCGTTCCTCAGACATTTTTTATTCGGCTCTTACTATGACATGCTAGAAACACTGCACTGTTGTATGATGCCTGAGTGCAAAATGGTGCCACAACAATGTTTCTGTTAATTGTGTATCCAGGTGAACTACAGTCAACAGAAACGGATGTTCAATAGTTCTGCATAAATACTTGAGTACTAACACGAAAATTTAATAACTTTAAATGTATCATAATTTGGGGAAAGACGTTTACACTAAACAGTCAAAAAGGTGAAATTTTTGGGTCAAATATAGAACACGTGTTGAACAACAACACCGAAAATACCAACTTCCAGTTGTACAGAAATACCAGTATCGGACGTAAGGTAGTTGGAGTGCAAAGGTTAAATCAAGGTCAAAATCTATATATTAAAAAAGGGAACATGCCTTGAACCAATATTAACCACCTATGTACGAACTTTCAATTCAAATTTAACAAGAATTTGAAAATTATCGCTCTAAATATTGTCATATTCTAAATATTATGTTCGAAATATCTTATTCGGATCTCTTGAAAATATTCGGGTGTCATCACTTGGGGCCCGTGAAGATCCGGGTAAGAATAGGTCTTCAGCAACCCATGCTTGTAACAGGCGACTATGCTTGTCGTAAGATTCGACAAACGGGATCAGGTGGTCAGGCTCGCTGACTTGGTCGATGCATGTCATCGATCCCAATTGCGTGGATCGATGCTCATGATCTCAATCACTGGATTGTCTGGCCCAGAGTCGATTATTTACAGACCGCCGCCATATAGCTGGAATATTGCTGAGTGCTGCGTTAAACAACAAACAAACACAGGTAGTTTGATCTACTCACCACATAACCCTGTTCCCTTGTCGATGTGTCCACAGGTGCCACATTTCGCCCCGGTACAATACGGTGTGTGGAAATTGGTCTGTCTGGAATAGGTAGAATCAGTCATACAGCACTGGACCTTGTTATATGGCAGTGTGTTTTAATTTATTGCTTAACAATGATTGCATTCGTGTGACATTGTTATTGGTTGTGATTCGGTAGACGCTCATTGCATTGTGTTTGGACAGTGATCAGTCGTCCGGAAGGTACTATATTTAGATGACAGTGGGGTGTGTAAACTGCCGCTGACGGTATGTTATGGAAACTTCTTTAATGTTCTAGTACCGTTAGACTGGTGAGGTCACTGTATAGAATTTTCCAGTAGCTTGTTATGCTGTATGTATAGTGGGACAAGAGCGTGTTTACGTTCTCACGTATTTCATCGCTTTGGAACTAGCTTTCATGTGAGGACCGTTCATCATCCCTGATTCCCTGGCTAGCCCATCTCGGAAACTTGACCACTATCGCCGCTGGGTGAATATGTATCATTAATTTCTGACTTTTGCTATCACTACTGTATTTGTGTATTTGATACTGACCACTGCCATCATGTTATATATTGCTATTGGATATTGTATAACCACTATTATTTGCTGCCATTGATTTGTATTTGTAAAACTTAATGAATTTTGTAAGATATTTGTTGATTCTATACCGCTTGTTTGTTGATTTCACACCAGGTTCTTTTAAGTACAGATTTCTGGGTAAACATTGTTACAATTTGAGAATCGACATGTAACCTCCTCCAGAGTCTTCCAGTCAAAAATTGGTAAACACGCAAGACAACGGGTAAACACGCGAGACAACGGGTAAACACGCGAGACAACGGGTAAACACGCAAGACAACGGGTAAACACGCAAGACAACGGGTAAACACGCGAGACAACGGGTAAACACGCGAGACAACGGGTAAACACGCGAGACAACGGGTAAACACGAGAGAACGGGTAAACACGCGAGACAAAGGATATCCCGAGCAGCAAGGATTTGAATCTGCTAGAGTGAGTGAGTCACAATTCAATGTCGCATAGGCTGATTAGCTGGAGTGAGTGAGTGAGTATGGTTTTACGCCGCTTTTAGCAATATTACAGCAATATCACGGCGGGGGACACCAGAAATGGGCTTCACACATTGTGCCCATGTCGGGAATCGAACCCGGGTCTTCGGCGTGACGAGCGAACGCTTTAACCACTAGGCTACCCGACCGCCCCCTGATTAGCTGGAACTTACCCCTCGGCATAGTTACAGACGTAGTACCGACCATCGTCACAGTCAGCCTGGCCGCATCCTATCCGGACAGTTCTCTCAAACACAACCTGCACATATTCAAATCAACTTTGTGTCGATAATCAAAGACAGTCCATCCACAGATATAGCATAGTCACAAATATGTAAAAGTCAATTCAAATTTATTATTTTGCATTTTGTCATAATTGTCCGACTTGCAGCCTGTTGCAAATGAACCCAACACCCATCGTCTTAAACCTCTGCCTCAACAGCAATGAAATATTGAATGCAATTTTGTCACAGGCGACATGAATCCTACTTTTTAACCCGTATTACTACGACACAAGATCGTCTCTACATTAATTTGGCCATAATTTCATCGGGGAAGCTTAACCTACTTTTCTGAAATGTTATCCAAATCGCACCCCAACAACAGGCTCTTGCGACAAAAATATTGAAGTTAAAGTATCATCAGGTGTCGTTAATTGACATGGCACAGGGACGCACCCTGACAAGACTCAGATCCACTCGGTGCTTGTCCAACAAGCGATGTTTCCCAAGCCGATTTGGTAGAAAAGGTTTAAATATGAGGAGACAGACATACGATGTGTTCAATGTAAAGCTGTGGGTATAACACTGTCATTGAATTTGGAACTGAATGCAAGGGGTTATTTCCACATACTTTCTCAGTCATTGTCGGTAAGCATTTTCGGTGTCTGTGATGCAGCAGCCACGTTATTGTAATTTGAACCCTCTGAATGACCATGTACCTGTGTGTAGTGCCCCACGATCTTGTCATTAATGGACCCGGTCCCATATTTGAAGTTCTTCAACTCGTTCACCCAGGCTAGGAAGGCTTTTGTGAGGTTGAACTTGCTACTCTGACGGGCCAGATTCTGACCAATGAAGTAATCCGGTATACCTGAAACAAGTAATTAATCAGATTGATTGATTGTTGTTTGACGCCGCACTCAGCAATATCTCATCTGGAAATAATCGAATCTGGACCAGACGATCTAGTGATTGACATCATGAGCATCGATCCACGCAGTTGGGATCGATAACATGCATCAACGATAGAGGACATGCATCAACCATGTCAGCGAGCCTAGCCACCCAATCCCGTTAGTCGCCTCTTACTACAAGCATAGTCGCTTGTTAGGACAAGCATGGATTGCTTAAGACCTAACTCAGATCTTCACGGGTAATCTCACATTGTATCGAAACATAAGTGCACGTTTCATGAAACTAAAATGGTGGCAGAAATAAGGACACGCTCACCAGAACACTGCAGACAATGCCTGCCTGCCTGCCTGCCTGCCTCCCTACTAGTGACGTAAACTCACTCCAGGGCGACCACCAGGTGTTCACAAAGATTGATAATACATGGCAGATTCATAGCGAACTTCAAACCTAGGCACAAAACGTTTAAGCATTTTGATAATCAGTTCTATAATATGTTTATTTTCTGTTAATCATTTGTTAACAGATTGACAGAATTTCGAAAGGTGTTTTTTCGCTTTTATTTGTATTTCTTTTGGGCGACTCGGATTAAATGCACGCCCCAGGGCAGGAATATTCCTCGAAGATCTACTCAAAACGTCAACAATCTACCACATTTGTCCGCGAAGGGCCTTTTATCAGAGGATAACACCCTGAAAAGACAACCCCATTCATAAACTGTTCTGGATGTTAATAAATATTCAGTTAATTGCATAGAATGTCTTCGGATGTTTGTTCGAGACGGATGTTTGTTCGAGACGGATGTTTGTTCGAGACGGATGTTTGTTCGAGACGGATGTTTGTTCGAGACGGATGTTTGCTCGAGACGGATGTTTGCTCGAGACGGATGTTTGCTCGAGACGGATGTTTGTTCGAGACGGATGTTTGCTCGAGACGGATGTTTGCTCGAGACATTATTCCTGACTCCAGTCAGACATACTAACTTTCCCCGTAATTGAAAAGCAACGGGGCATTTTGACCCACACATTTTTTCAGAACCAGGATTTTCAGTAGATATTTGTGTACTAAACCAGAGTAAAACCTTTCATGCATTTTCGGGTAAAGAGTACTTTTGAAAAATTATGTTTTGGTCCAAACAAATCCCAGGCACTTCCCAAATAGTTGTACTTACCTATTGCCCGCCTTTCGGAGCCTTTGTCATGCGCTAGACGACACTGTCTTGCCCACTTCCCAGCAATCTTGGCGAGTTCCTCATCCCACATCTAAACATACGTTACATTAACATACGTTACATTGCCAGGCGAGTCAAAGTCTAACATTAACACTCACAAGATACGCTGTGTAATTTTGCAACAGATCCCAGCTATGCCTTTGTCTTATAAGTAACTAGGCCTATACCACACAAAGCATACGCCTACCATATTGCATGGTGCACGGTAATCAGCAGCAAGACAAGTCCTTTTTGCAGTTCCGTCCATATATTTCGCACAATCCTCATTTCTAACTGAGCAGAATTTACAACCCATAAAAAAAGAAAAAAAAAAGAAAAGCACTACAAATGATTTTACTGTGCTCAAATACGGACACCCACAGTGGTTGGCTGGTTTTATAACCAGCGGGGAGAGCGAGTTGGTTTAAACTAGTTAGTCTGCTATTCCAGTCACACGAACGCGGGTGACCCCATATACTGGATACTGTCACTTTTCATTTTCAAATTTAGAGTGCTCCCTAAACAAGATTTAAATAAGCCAATGATTATTCTGACGAGTGCTTTATTTTGGAAATCGGAAGATGACTATTTAAATTAAATATCAGTCTCAATTTAAGTTTAGGATTGATATACCAGTTACTTATGTCGACTGTCACAAGGCACAACGGTAATATGAGATAAATATGATGATCAGAATGAATATGATGATCGGATAAGTATGATCCTTGTATGAATATGCGAACAATACGCTTTTGAGAAAAGGCTCGACCAGGTCATACACAGGTCATCACAGCATCTCCATAATAGTGAATGATGGGTGGCCATACTCACCACCTTCTGCATGAGTGGTGCGCTGGGGACCACTTTCTGGCGGTACTGGTTGTGAAGGTCTACAAGTCTCTGCTTCATGGCAGCGGTCAGAGGAACATCCTTCCCCTTATCTTTCTGGCACATGGTGTGAGTGGCGGAGAGCTTCTTGTAGCGGGGGTCACATGTCTGATGTTCAAATATGAGTTTTTTTCTAACGTTCAAATTGTGAGCAGATGTTTGCATATGAATATATTGGGTTCAACGCCGTTTTAACAGTATTCAAGTTTTATCACGGCGTGTCAGCTTAATGTTTGAGGAAAGCCCGATGTGATGAGGGTCTTGGACGTTTACCACTTCGGTGAAACCCACGAGCACGGGTATGGTGCTGACAATCTAGAAGCAATCGGGGGGGAACCGGGATTCGAACCCACAATCATAGGTTTCTGGCGTGCCCAAGGTACGCAACTCTGCACAGCGAATTGCGGCGCCTTAGACGAATGGGCCACCCGTGCCCCCAATAGTATTGTGAACACTCCACGACGAAATGCTAATCAGCATGGATACACATTGTAACTACTTTAACCTTACTGGTCGACACATACAAAATGGGCTACCCGAGGCCTGTCCTGGAAGACAGTCTTTATGAAATTGTGGGTTGACTTAGCGTAAATATTGGCGTGAAGATAACGTACACCACCTTCTGCAGATCAAAGTAAAGAAGCTGCGGCTTATTTCCTGTACACTAACGATTGAACAAGATTTCGGTTATAGCAGAGCGTATCAGCTTATGTTGTGGGATGGCGTCAAACGTTGAACAACGCAATGTGCAAACAGAGCAAGGACGATTAGTGGGCAAATCTAAGGGAAGCAACTCTTCACAATGAATTACGGCTGCCACCCGGCGACGTCATGGAGAATAATAAAATCGAAACGTCTACGAACCGGTTTTGGTTTTTCAGTTGTAGACGGTGTACTTTCCGGTTCCTCAGATTCGTTCGGAGTTGTTGGTGGATTCGTCGACTCATCAGGTGTAGTGTTGTCTGCCCCGGGGGTTGTTTCCTGGGTGTTTTCGGGCGTCGTTTCTTCCTTTTCAGGGTTTGGCGTCGTTTCCTCCTTTTTAGGGTCCGGCGTCGTTTCCTCCTCTTTAGGGTCCGGCGTCGTTTCTCTTCCACCACCGTCACCCGGGTCGTCGTACATGTTATGACGAACGTCTCTAGTTTCACGGATTGGATCTGATGAAAAACAATTACAATGTAACCCTGCAGCACGGATATTTCAATGTCAGGATTAACAAGTCAGGAAATGTATACAACCCAAAATAGATCTAATGCCGCCGAGTCAAACAATATTTGGATAAATGAACCTGATAAACTTTGCAATCAATCTTCCATAGTTACTGCAGAACATTAAACGATAACGTATGGTAAAGTTTTCCAAAATTATTATTTTACATATCATTCGACTCATTACTTGTTTGGTTTGCAGTACATAAAAATGTGTTTAATAGTAGTCCGGATCGACGGGTTACCAAACTTGAGTGAGTTGGGTTTAACGCCGCTTTTAACAGTATTCCAGTTATATCACGGCGAGTCAGCTTAATGTGGGAAGAAAGCCCGAAGTGATGCAGGTCTCAGACGTTTACCACTTCGGTGAAACCCACGAGCACGGGTATGGTGCTGACAAACCTAGAAACAATCGGGGCGAACCGGGATTCGAACCTACAATCACGGGTTTCTGGCGTGCCCAAGGGACGCACCTCTGCACAGCGAATCGCGGCGCCTTAGACGACTGGGCCACCCGTGCCCTCTTCCAAACTTGAGGTTTCACCGTTTATCCCATTCTCGGTATATACACTGTTATCGTGTACACAAATATACTGAATACAAAAACTGGGCATCGTGTTTTTTAGGGGGAATATGTTTTAGTAGTAAAGACTTTCTTTAAAGGTGTGCGGAATATACCAATATTTCATGGTCTCTATCTTTGGTTTCAGTACAGTCCTCCCTCGATACAATGCCACCTTTCGTCCAGCGGAAAATAATGTTTGAAATTAAATGTTTGAAACACCGGCGTTTAAGGATATTACAGAAATAGACTATCATTGACAAACTAAATTCTTTTCTATTTTTAGGACGTGAATGTTTGTTGTTTAACGCCGCACTCGGCAATATTCCAGCTATATGACGGCGGTCTAAATAATCGAGTATGGACTAGACAATCCAGTGATTGACATCATGAGCATCGATCCACGCAATTGGGATCGATGACATGCATCAACGAAGTCAGCGAGCCTGACCACGCGGTCCCGTTAGTCGCCTCTTACGACAAGCATAGTCACGTTTTACGGCCAGCATCTGGTTGCTGAAGACTTATTCTACCCCGGATCTTCACGGGTCCCTCATTGATGTAGGACCCAATGCGGTCATTGATTGTGGAATTCACTAAGGGGTCCAATATGTTTTTCTACGGCAAGTATGGGTTACTGAAGACCTATTCTACCCCGGATCTTCACGGGTCAATAAAGTGAATGATTTTCTGAGGTTCAGCTGTGAAAACATTAGAGATCAATAAATATAGTTTGTTGATTTAGGAGGATTCTTTTCCTACAGATTAACCACACTGCTAATTTTACGTAAATAAATAAAAAATGGCATGACAAGGGAATTGGAAAGTTTGTCGTGAAAGTCATTGGCATTATAACCGGGGTGGCACTGCATATCCGGGGGGTGAGGGGGTGGGTGGCACTGCACCGGGTGTGTGTGTGTGTGTGTGGGTGGGGGGGGGGGGGGGGGGGGGGGTGGGGTGGGGGGGGGGGGGGGCACTGCACCCGGGGTGGCACTATACCCAGCCTGGCACTATAACCAGAGTGACATTAAAACTAGGAACGACTATATACACAGAAACAAACCGAACAAGACTTTCAGAGTAAGAACACGTGCTGTGTTGTTTCTTATGCGGGAACTCATAGGAACAAGCTGCTCCGTTAAATGGAATTTATTTGTGGGGAGGGGGGGGGATTTCCTGTACAGTGAAACCTCGTGGTTTACTTGTATATACATAATATAGTATATATCATTTACTTAAAGTCACTCTGAGCAATATCCCAAATATGACGTCGGCTTGTAAATAATTGAGCCTGGGCAAGACAATCCAGTTATAATAAATATGATTTTATATATTAAACAAAGGCAAGAACCTATACGATGATGCAAGTTATCAAGCTGTGGATACATACAGTAGTTAGATGCAAATTGTTTTTCTATTTACAAATATTGCGTTTTACAGTCGGATATGACACAGCAATATTACAGCCATGTCACGTGGCCTGTAAATCATATCTGGCCAGACAACCCAGTGGTTGATAACATAAGCAACGTCCTCCAACAGGATACAATGACGCCACATGTCCATCTGGTTCTCTTACAAGCACTGATAACTAGGGAATCCCTCAGTTCGCATATGGTTAACAGAAACAAGGATTCGATTACGAGCCATTACTGCATATTTTTCAAAAATGATGAAATATCGTTCGACTCATCACTTGTTTGGATAGTAGAACGTGTCAACATTTTAAGTCAAGATAGCAGGGTTTCCGAACTCGAGGTTTCAATGTTTATGTCGGCATACACAATGTCATCGTCTGGTCCAGACTCCATTATTTACAGACGGCCGTCACATAGCTGGAATATTGCTGAGTGCGGCGTTACACAACAAACAAACTGTAAATCATGTCTGGCCAGACAACCAAGTGGTTGATAGCATAAGAAATGTGCCACAACAGGACAGTCGCATGTCAGTCTCATTCTCTGAGAAGCACCGATAGCTGGGGAATCCCGCACGGTTCGCATGGGGTTAGCAGAAACAAGGATTCGATAAGCGTAAATCAACAGATTGCATCCTTACTCAAACAGCGACATGATAACCGCAGCAGAATCTGTGGAGGCTTGCAGGACAGCGTGCAGTTCCCTGCCAATAGAATACAGCATTAAATGTAGGATCGGAGTGAGTGAGCGAGTTGGGTTTAACGCCGCGTTGAACAGCATTCTGGTTATATCACGGCGTGTCAGCTTGATGCGGAGAAAAGCTAGAAGTGATGCGTATACCACTTGTGAGTGAGTGAGTGGGGTTTAGCGCCGCTTTTAACAGTATTCCAGTCATATCACGGTGTGTCAGCTTAATGTGGGAGGAAAGCCCGGAGTGATGCAGGTCACAGACGTTTACCACTTCGGTGAAACCCACGAGCATGGACAGTGCTGACGAACCCCGAAACAGGGGCGAACCTGGATTCAATCACAGGCTCTCTGCGTCCCAAGGAAACATCTGAACCAGGCCAATATACATAAATACCTGCGTACAACTAGCGTGGCAATGTGATTTTAAAAAGGCGTCAGTCATGTTAATTACCAAGTAATTCCGGCTTCGAAAGCTTTTGAAAGATCATTGACCCCGTACACAAAACTATCTTTTACTTCAATGTTTCGCTTGGTTTGTTTGTTGTTTAACGCCACATTCAGCAATATTCCAGCTATATGACGATGGTCTGTAAATAATTCAGTCTGGGCCAGACAATACAGTGATTGACATAATGAACATCGATGCACGCAATTGGGATACGATGACATGCATCAACCAAGTCAGACAACCCGATCCCGTTAGTCGCATCTTACGACAAGCATAGTCGCTTTGTAAGGCAAGCATAGGTTGCTGAAGACCTATTCTACCCCGGGTCTTCACGGGCCGTTTCGCTTGGAGGGATCGATGCATGTTCAATACGGACAAATCATCTTTACAAATAAGGATGTTATTGAGCGATTTCCTTCAGTTTAGGCCGCTTCAAGAGAATTCAGTCATCTCACGAATTGGCAGCTTGTGGGGAAAAATGTAGGTCTTAGACGTTGGTTTATCACGAGCACAAGCATGACTGACAAACCAACAAACAATCACGGCAAAACGGGGATCAACCCCACAGCCATGTTTCTGCGTTTTGGAGGCAACACCTTGGATGACTGGGCCCGGATGTAAATGAATCAGCAAGTTCAAGGTCACGTTGTCACCTATGACGAATGGTAAGTTGCCCTGACTAAAAATTCAAATTAAGTAAAAATTTAAGGACATGTTACTTGCCACTAAAACAGGTTATTTACAGTATGAAATTTTGTTTTCGGTACGCTGGATAGTAGAAAACGGGAGACAGACGTTATGGCAAGCGCTTGTTTTGTGTGCTTTGCCTACCGATTTCGTAGTGTGACGTCACAGCAGGCAGCAGGGCAAGGAGCAAGCCAAGTACCACGGCGAAGGACATCGTTCGTGTCATCTTCCGCCCGACAAGGCTGAAACAAACAACACAAATAAACGCGATCCGTGGGTCTGAAACAATTTAGGAAAACGAAATGATATTTCCTGCACGACCTTCACTGTTGAAAAGCTGTTGATCTAAAACAAGCCTAATAATATATGGATGTATCTGACAACGTCCAAATATTTATACAGTAGATTGAGATATGACTATTCTGACAGATTCCAGAGGTACTCCTACCCCATCACCTGTGGAGCCTTTGGACTCCAGTCACGAGCTTACCCGACAGCTGTTCTAAAATTCAGAAAATGAAGCTCTCTGGATAGGGTAGGGTGGGGTGTATATGTGGTGTAGGGGTGTATCTGTGGGGTGGGGTGTATACTTTAGGTAAGGGTGCATATGTGGGGTAGGGGTGTATATGTGGGGTAGGGGTGTATATGTGGGGTAGGGGTGTATATGTGGGGTATGGGTGTATATGTGGGGTATGGGTGTATATGTGGAGTAGGGGTGTATATGTGGGGTATGGGTGTATATGTGGGGTAGGGATGTATATGTGGGGTGGGGATGGGGGTGGGGGGGTGGGGGGGGGGGGATGTGGAAACAATATCAGCACAATTATATAAAATGTTTGTACAAAATGGATGAAACATTGAATAAATATAACTTGCAGAAACATTTAGAATTACATACACAATGGTGGCTCTTCGTCTAAAGGTACAATGATGAAAGCCTTTATAACAGTTCATGAGGGAAGCGGTAACAACCAAAAGATTTCATTAATAGAGTGAGTTGGGTTTAACGCCGCTTCTAACAGTTATATCGCGGCGTGTCAGCTTAATGTGGGAGGAAAGCCCGAAGTCATGCAGGTCTCAGACGTTTACCACTTCGGTGAAACCCACGAGCACGGGTATGGTGCTGACAAACCTCGAAACATCATCAGGGCGATTGGGATTCGAACCTACAATCATAGGGTCGCCTTAGACGACTGGGCCACCTGTGCCCCCTAAACTGTAAGTCAAAGTACGTGATAGTGAGAACGTATTGTTAGTGTGTTTTTTGATTGTTGTTTAACGCCGCCCTCAGCAATTTGTCCAGCTATATGACGGCGCTCTGTAAGGCCTGGTTCACACATTGCCGATTATGGCTCCCGTTTGAGATCAGACAGCGTTACGACACGAAAAGTGAAAAAGTCGGATTACTATCCTCAGTGATATGGATAACTCGGCCAATCATGTCTAGTCGGATAACAATCGTGACTATGTCGTGACAGATTCTGCTGTATCGTATCAAAATCGTAACAATGTCCATGGGTTGTCTGGACGGTGTCGTGAAGAACGGACATGGATTGTTCATTGCCGTTACTTGTTGATAGATTCCAGATTGCGTCCAGATCTTGCCGAATGCGAACCGTGTTTGTCGGTTCATTGTCCGGTCACTGATCTGTCGGATCGCATTCGGGAGAATCGCGACGCTGTCGGGACAGATTCGGTCGTTTTTTATCATGCGGAAGATAAAAATGGGATCAGATTCAGATTGAGAATCGGGACGAATTTGGCTTGAAATGGCTGAATCGGGACGCTTCCTGAACAATATCTGATTGTGAATTTTCCGCCACGAATCACAGGATCATGATCAGACTTGACACATTTTAATCGGGAATGGTCCTATCAAGTACGGCAGTATAAAATCTTGAATGAACCCTGAATGATTAAGTCTGGGCCAGACAATCTAGTGATTGACATGAGCATCATGAACACCCGACCCCGTTAGTCGCCTCTTACTACATGCATAGTCGCCTTTTACGGCAAGAATGGGTTGCTGAAGACCTATTCTACTCCAGATCTTCACAATTTTGATACATATCAATGTATAAGTGGGGCGGGGGAATACGGGAACAGTTCGTCCGTTCGTCCGGCCGTCCTTCCGTCCGCTTCTTAATATTGACAATGGAAGTAACATGATTAAAACTTTGCAAACTATTCTAAGGAGATACATACCAAATTGATAATTCCATAAATAATCGAATCTGGAACAGACAATCCAGTGATTGATATCACGAGCATCGATCCACGCAATTGGGATACGATGACATGTATCAACCAAATCAGCGAGCCTGACCATTTCATGAAGACCTATTCTACCCCGGAACTTCACCCGATCCCGTTAGTTGCCTCTCAAGACAAGCATAGTCGCCTTTCACGGCAAGCATAAGTTGCTGAAGACCTATTCTCTACCCGGATCTTCACGGGTTGTTCGTCGTAATGATCGACTTATGTGGGTCGGGTGATGACATTGCGTGAACTGAATGAGTGCGTGATCGAACCCCTCGGCGTGGATAGTTGTTCATGTTTTCGTCCACTGGCTGGATGGCCTGGTCGAGTCAAAACATTCCTCAATGATTGAGTTCAATATTGCCGAGAGCGGCTGACGATTCTCAATCAAAACCTTGTTCAGCCAACCAATACCTTTTCTTATCATAGATACGTCTTACTTTAAATACAACAGTTTATTTGTAAGTAATACCTTACACAAAATCGGTTTATAACTGTTCCAAATTTGTATTCAGTATTGCAAAAATATGACGGTTAAAACACATTCCCACCTACCTCAGCGATCAGTCAAAACTCTAACTGCGCATAGAAAGCACGTGATTTCCTTTTATACTCACAATAAAAATGAGATTCGCGTGAGTCAACACGGTTGCGTTTGTGTGCGTGTTTTCTGTTCATGTGAACGACAGAAAAGAATAACGCTTTTCACTAATGGATATTTCAAACCTTATCGCAACGAAAGTGTAAGCTTAGCTGTTGTGACCTTCAATCTGTTGGTATATACTCTGTTTTTGTACATATCTCAATTGTGTTATTATATAACGCTAAAAATGTAATAAACGTTGGAGAGGGTTACCCAAGTTGTGTTTGTTTGGTTGTTATTTAACGCCGCACTCAGCAATATTCCAGCTTTATGACGGCGTTCTGCAAATAATCGAGTCTGGACCAGACAATCCCTCTGATTGACAACATGAGCACCGATCCACGCAATTGGGATAGGATTACATGCATCAACAAAGTCTGCGAGCCTGACCACCCGATCCCGTTAGTCGCCTCATACGACAAGCATACTCGCCATTTACGGCAAGCATGGGTTGCTGAAGACCTATTCTACCCCGGATCTTCACTGGAGCACCCAAGTTGGGCCCGATCCTTTTCTTTGTGACTAAACTGTTTGTAAGTCAAAGTACGTGATAGTGAGAACTTATTAAACAACCATCCTACAGCATGGAACAAGTTTTTATAGTGTCTTGCTTATGTTCTTAACTGATTAAAAATCAGTTTTCAGTACATAATATAATCCTTATTGTGGTTAAAAATGCTATAATTTCAAATTGATTTGAATTTTGGAAAATATTGGCAATTGTCTTTGTTCGAAATATGGGGGGGGCACGGGTGGCCCAGTCGTCTAAGGCGTCGCGATTCGCTGTGCAGAGTTGCGTCCCTTGGGCACGCCAGAAACCTATGATTGTGGGTTCGAATCTCGGTTCGCCCCGATTATGTTTTTAGGTTTGTCAGCACCATACCCGTGCTCTTGGGTTTCACCGAAGTGGTACCCGTCTGAGACCTGCATCACTTCGGGCTTTCCTCCCACATTAAGCTAACACGCCGTGATATAACTGGAATACTGTTAAAAGCGGCGTTAAACTCACTCACTCACAGGCAGCTTGGTTTGTATACTTCCCAGGGAGATTAGAGTGAAAATCAAGTGTACACTGATCTACTGACTAGGGTAATAATAATATATTGCTTTGAGTATGTCCTCTGTGGTTTGGAAATATAGCGCAATATAAATGGCATTATTATTACAATATGGAAAATAGACATTGAAACTGGACCAACGACAGTCCATTGCCACGCTGTTATGTGATATTTTGGTATCTTTAGTCGTGAATTGCATTTACAGTTACCGGTATTAATAAACTGCAAGTTATTCCATATCATTTGATTGGCTAACCATAAAACGAAAACAGGCCACGCCCAAAAACTCCCTACAGTTTCCTGATTGGCTGATAATAGGTTAAGTGGGACTTGGATTGAATTATTGCGCGAAACGAAGTATTGCGGTCAACATGTTTTGTGTTAACAATTGAAAAAAGTGATGTTATTAGCCTTGATTTTTTCATTAGAATTCGCTGCAATATGTTTTTGCATTAGGTTTTGGCATAATCTAAACTAATGTGCACACGATTTGAATCAGCGTAAAAACAAAAAAATGACTATTGATACATTTTATGATACTTCAATTTGGAGACACTACCCATACGACTGTAAGAAGTTGTTAGAATAAGTTACTGCCTATTTCCTACTGTAAAAGTCTTTTAAGGTATCTGTGTCTGTATCGCAGACATGCAGTCACCTTGACATAAGTCATACAACATTTGTAATCCCGTGAGGACGCAGATCCCCATTAAGCTAAAATTCGTGTAAGATACTACATGTTACTGGTTGATCAGGCTCGATTGATCGCATGTCATGATACATCAAAGACGTGGTACGTTGCTCATAACATCAACCACTGGTTTGGCTAGTCCAGACTGATCTGGTCACTGTCTCTGGAAAATTGTTGAGTTAAACAGGGGACAGTTACAACATTATTAAACTGTTACGTATAACTGGACCTAGATTTGAACACTCTTCTTACATCAGGATCATCTGTTCCAGCTCAGGACGAGGATGCTGAAGACGCAGCTTAGATGAGTTCCCGAGTTAGCTGAGATTGCTGTAAATACACGACTGAATTTGACTGGGTGAACAGGTTCGGTTGATTGCATGTTATCGTACCCCGACGACGTGGCACGTTGGATGGTCAGTCTCAAGAATATTGCCGACTGTGGAGTTAAACAGTGGACAGGCATAACACAGTGAAACTGTAACTGGATCTAAAGTCAAACACTGTTCTTACATCAGGACCATCTGTTCTAGCCCAGGGCGAGGATGTTGAAGTCGTGTTTTTAAAAGTATTCATTTTTAAAAAGCATATAACCATACTATTTGTAATGAGCTGCGTCAATTCAACATCATTGGAAGCTCTCGTAAAATATCAGCAACATAATCATCATCAACATCATCAAATCAGACACATCCGATACACGTAAAATGAGAGAGAGAGTTTGGGTTTTTTTGGTGCGCTTTCCGACTTTATGCGTATATTGCACACGGGCCCGCCAGGCCAATTAGTGGTTTTGCCAAGGAGGGTATGTCCGTAAAGGAAGGGCAGCCTGGGGGACTTTAGGGCTGCTTACTTAATTTGGGGGAAATTTGTAATTTTGAAGAATGCCGTGCGGTGGGGGAACTTAGGGAGTTTGTGTGGTTGTGTGGTATTTTGCTTTTTTATTTTTTAGGTTTTTTTTTTTTAGGGTTTGGGGTTGTTGAAAGCATGGTTTTGTAGTTTATTAGATGCGCCTGTTTGAATTAGGAAAGTGCCTAATGCTTTGAATTTTTGTAGGTCGTTTAGTGGGTATCGAAGTGTTGCCAGAGTCATTTGGTTGTTGCAGTTTATTGTGGACTTGAGGGTTGTTCTGTGTTGTTGGTGGTGTGTGCAGTGTAATACTGCGTGTTCAGGTGTTTCTGTTAGATTACAGTGAGGGCCGGCATTTACCTGTTTGATGTTTCCTGTTTTTGTGTAGGTGAGAGTTGAGCTAAGTGTGTCCTGTCTGTAATTTGATTATTGCCCTGGGACGGGGGACACCAGAAATTGGCTTCACACATTGTACCCATGTCGGCAATCGATCCCGGGTCTTCGGCGTGACGATCGAACGCTTAAGCTTTAACCACTAGGCTACCGACCGCCCCGAGTTTTATTCGATTTTGAACAGGTTAAAATAGACAGTCCAGATGTACTAGACCGTTCTCGTTTTTTCGGTTTTTTTTAGCGTCACGCTTTTTAACATCATGTGTCCTAATTCAATATGGATATAGGTATCAGGTGTAATGCATGAGTACCGCAGTCACTGGATTGTCTGGTCAAGACTCGATAGTCAATAGGCTGCCGTCATATAGCTAGAATATTGCTGTGTGAGGCGTAAAGCAAACAAACAAACAAACAATTCAAGTATGTGGTAGAATATATGCAGGTGCCTAATCTAGTCAGTTAAACCAAGTGACCTGTCAGGTGAAGATGACAATATTTGCAATGTGAAACAGGGACACACCAGCTTTCTTTCTTCACACCCGCAAGCACAATTAAACAACAGACAAACATCAAGAAGTATTTCTGTGAACCGTAAAAGGACGTGTGAGTGTTGTATTTAACCATACAGTATAGTAAAGGGATTTTCATCAGTGAATATGAAATGCCTCATGTGAAACACAATAATTGAAAAGTGACACTACTCTTGTAACCAATTTTTCAGAACCAAGTGAAAGTCGGACACTTTAGCCCACATGACTCGTGAAGATCCGGGGTAGAATAGGTCTTCAGCAACCCATGCCTGCCGTAAAAGGTGACTATGCTTGTCGTAAAGGCGACTAAAGGGATCGTTTGGTCAGGCTCGCTGACTTGGTTGATGCATGTCATCGATCCCAATTGCGTGGATCGATGCTCATGATATCAATCACTGGATTGTCTGGTCCAGACTCGATTATTTACAGACCGCCGTCATATAGCTGGAATATTGCTGAGTGCGGCATTAAAGAACAAACCAACCAAACAATCCAGCCCTCTGACTTACATCAACGATGCTTTGACGCAGCAATGCATGTGGTTCTCGTGGAACCTTTATCTTTTTTCTCTGAGTCAACACTCAGTGACTTCCACAATCAGATTTCATTCGATTCGTACGTGAAATGCACGGTATGCTCGTCCAGTCTTTTCCGTCTCTAACGTTAACGTGACCACATTTACCAGGCGTTTCTGGCCTCCACCCATGAGTGTGAGTGAGTGAGTTGGGTTCAACGCCGCTTTTAACAGTATTCCTGTTATATCGCGGCGTGTCAGCTTAATGTTGGAGGAAAGCCCGAAGTCATGCAGGTCTCAGACGTTTACCACTTCGGTGAAACCAACGAGCACGGTTATGGTGCTGACAAACCTAGAAACATAATCGGGGCGAACCGGGATTCGAACCCACGATCAAGTCACTCGATGAGAGAAACATGATATTTCACTCGGCACATGAAATATCCTCTATCACTAGTTTGAGGAACTATAGGTGTCCGCCTGGTGGTTATAGGTCTGTCAGTGTACACCTACAGAATAACATACGAACAGTTAATCCGTAATGATGCGAGTTATGAGTTGGCTTTTCTTCGTATTACCCACGTTATGTTTATCGGATGCGTCTGATTTGTGATGATGTTGCTGATATTTTCGAGAGTTTCCGATGAAGTTGATTTCGCGCAGGTAATTGCCAATTATATGGTTATTTTTGAAAGATATTTCTAAAAGAAACACACGACTTCAGCATCTTCGCCCTGAGCTGGAACAGATGATCCTGATGTAAGAACAATGTTCAACTTTAGGCCCATTTATACCTAGCAGTTTAATAATGTTTTAACTGTCCCCTGTTTAACTCAACAATTTTCCAGAGATAGCACAGTGACGAAATCAGCCTGGACTAGCCAAACCAGTGGTTGATATTATGAGCAACGTACCACGT